AAGGGAAATGTCATGAGAATCGACTGCATTTGAACTTGTCTTAAGATTAATTCAACTAAGTTCAGATGACTTTGGTGAGTGCATTTCCTCTCCTGCTGTTCCATTTTTACAAACAAGATTTATCTGTCCATATGACTCTTATATATGATATACATTTCAAGGATTATATTCACCAAAATTAATCCAGTATTTTATTTCAGGTGCATAGATAACCTGCTGTGGGAGATTTTGACAGGAGTTCCCAGTAGATGGTAGTGTGGTTTGTCCAGAGTGGGAGTGAAAGTGACCAGTAATCCATGATAAACATAAATAAAACTCCCACGGTGACCACAGTTTCCTCTGAAAAACAGCTGGGTGACCATGTGTAAAGCCTTGAGTCAACAAGCCACATTACCATCAGCCGCATTAGTCACCAGTTAAACAGTATGGGGTGAGACTGGCATGTAATTCTGTTTTTACAGGGTGTTTTTGCCTTGTTGTGTTTTTAAAACCTCTGAATACATAACTGGGCTTAACCAAATTTTGACCCCCACTTTCCACTGTGGTGTGGTGACTATCAAAGAAAATATTTCTGTCAAAAATTCTGACTGATTTCTGATTCTGATTCCCTGAAATTGTGTCCAATAGAAAACACAATAATATTTAGTCTTGGAACTTAAATTAGCAAAGCTGCAGAGATTTGCCAGAATTTAATGGAACTCACAGATTGTAATTGTTGGATGTACATCTACAGCTAAGATGGCTACTATAACTAATCTACCTTAGCAAACACAAAAATGGCTGTTTAATATGTTATTAGCAAAATAATCAGTCAGGATCATGGATGTTCACTTCCACCATTGATACTGTAAGAAAAATGTTTAGCTGACCCCCACTAAAATCTAACAAGCTGCCTTTGTAACTGGTACAGCAAATATTTAACTAATTTGCAGTCATGCACAATGGAGTTACTTGAAAATTCAAGCAAAGTTCAGCACAAGCTCTTTTCTTCAGGTATATGACTTCAGCTGTCTTAAACCTGATTATGTAAGCAGGACCAGACCTTTGTAGGGATGAGATGAATCTAGCTGATACGATACATCCTGCTCTGCCCTTTTCTGTTCCCTGCAGAGAGCTAATGGCAGAGAACAGTGAAAAGCTGAAGCTATACAGTATTGAAAAACTCAGGTGGTGAGCACCTCCTGTATGGGTTATCAGAACAAAATCAGGAGTATTCACCAATGTCCCTGAAATCTATAGGCTCTACAGTCTGATCAGACTTTTACAACTTTTTCTGCACAGCGATACACAGTGAACGACGTTTGTTCCACAGATCAGGTCAGAGGAGGAAACCATTATTTTGTTGACAGCTGTTCTATTTTAAATTTTACATTTAATCCCCTAAAGGACATTGAGGATACTGTTGAGTCCAAGAGTAGTTGGAAAACTGAGGACAAGAACGCAGTAGTCAGGAGCAGAATATAAAATGTTGTTCTCTTGCCCCAGAGTCTCACAGTACTGAACATTATTCATGTGTTTTATCAGTCCCACCATGATAGTTATCTTATCTTGTTTAACCATTCATTCTATCGGACTATAGAAGGTTATATTGTTAAACATCATAAATTTGACCTAAATTAAAGAATAAGAGGACAATAAATTGATATTATTTTGTTTAAACTTACAACAGTTAACCGTATGTCTTCTGAGAACTGAGCAAAACAGTATTATCTTCATGAACACACAGGGAAGTCTCAAACCGACTGGACAAAGTCTAGCAATTATGTTGAAAAAAGTAGACATGCAAACATTTTTATTAGAGTCACCTTGTTCAGCCTAGTTGATGCCTTTGGTTTTCAAAAGAACTTTTCTTAATAATTTTTCTTTTCTTTGTCCTTTGATTTATTTATTTTTTCTTCTCTCCTGACAATGTGGGTAACTTACAAAGTGACGTTGACGTAACGAGCCAGTTCAGCTGCAAAATAGACATGTAGTACCTCATTCCTTCTTCATTAGTGAAAAATGAAAGGAGATTGGCTGGGTGCTGTGTGTGCTTTGCAGCCTTTGCCTCTAAATAAATAAGTTAGAGCAAGGCCAACATAATTGTTCTCATCTTGAGCATTTAGTCACCCTCATCACCTTCTCTTACTCCTTCATTGAGCCTTGGCACCAGTCTCGCTGCCTGACTCTCACTCTCCATGACCTCACATTGCTTGTGGTTTTTTGGCTTTGAAAACAGTGGAATTTCAACCTGATATTCAAAACCAAAACCTGCACCCTCTGTGCATCCAGAAGGAACGCATCCATCTCTAAATGATCCTTTATGGACATACAAAGAATACAAAACAAACAATCAAAATCAATTGTAGCCCTTCATAAAGATTCTAAAGCTCCCCGGTAGGATCAAGTCAACTAAGGATCGAGCATTCCTTGAAGGAATGCACATCACCCAACGCCTTTCAAGCCAAAGTTTTAAACTAAGATCATTTTATGGGGAGAAATTACTTATGTGGTTATAAAATTGAGTAGCCTTTTTGGTTAAACATTGAAGATAACATTTATCTACAACCTCATGAAATATATCTTGTGTGATTAGGGTTAGATTATGTGATGTGAATAACTTGCTGGTATTACCGCACCAAATTTTAACTAAAGATCTGTAAAACTGACAGAATTGTAAACATTTTTATGTCGCTTAAGGCTGATAAGCTGAGTCTAGATCTTGATTGAGTCCAAAAAATAATTTGTTGTAGATGTAGATTTCTTTCTGAAAGTTTCTTTAAAAAATGTTCAGTGGTTCATGAAGATTTTTTGGCCAACCAATAAACAGAGTTGATTACAGCTTTAATTACAATAGGTAATACAGAGGTAACAGCTCTTCTGCAATCAGTTAGTGCTCAGAATATAAAATGGGGTTCAACTCCAATGTGCCAAATTTTAGCTCAATAACTGTAAAACGGAGTGTAATAGAATAATTTTTCATTTTGCTAAGATTGCATTGCTGTGGCAGCCATCTGGAACAGGATTGACTCCAAAAGTCAATCAATTGTAGTTGTACATCCATTGATTATTTCTGAACAGTTTATTTAAATCTGATCAGTGATTCGTGATGTATAGAAAATAGACAAAAACATTATTGCTCTGCCTTCCCCTTTGGTGGTAGGATAAAGTTATGTGATTAATACAAAATAAAACCTTTAAAGTTTTGTCCTGCAAAATGACAGAGTTATAGATTAAAACAGTTTATTCTTAGAGTATCTGGAGCTCTTTAAGGTACAACAGCTCATGTTGAACTTAAGACCTTTCCCCTACAGTTAGTCAGCGTTGCCAGAAACATGACGGTGAATGTAGTCATCAGATAAGTATTTGTGACTCAGGAACACTGTCTGCTTGTTAAAATTTTAACTTGCAGTCTAGTCTCCCTCTATTTACGCCGGATCTGTGACTCAGTATGCAAATATGTCCTGCGAGTCAAGAGCAAAGACAACATATGCAGAGCAACTGTGCACTCTCCAGAGATCTTGTATTGATTAGAAGATTTACTATGACTTCACGTTAATAATTTTGAGAAGGAGGATGTAGAAATAAACCTTTCATGCACCATGTTCTAAAACACATTTAGCAGTTTTTCACTGAGCTACCACAAGCACGTGGGTGGTTCATAACTCTTTAACGCCAACTATATATATATATATATATATACATATATATATGTATATGTATA